TTTTCTATGTTCATGATCATTTTTACTTTAGTCTCTTTAATATTATTACAGATTGTTTTGCTCATTTCTTACTTTGAATCTTTTAGTCTCCGTTTAGTTTTCCCAAATACTTCTTCCTTTCCATTTATTCTTCATTAGGTCATTGATGGGAATTTTTACTACTTTAGTCTCTTTAATATTATTACAGATTGTTTTGCTCATTTCTTAATTTGAATCTTTTAGTCACAGTTTCTTTTTCCCAAATACTTCTTCCCTTTCATTTATTCTTCATTAGGCCATTGATGGGAATTTTTACTACTTTAGTCTCTTTAATATTATTACAGATTATTTTGCTCATTTCTTAATTTGAATCTTTTAGTCACAGTTTCTTTTTCCCAAATACTTCTTCCCTTTCATTTATTCTTCATTAGGCCATTGATGGGAATTTTTACTACTTTAGTCTTTTTAATATTATTACAGATTGTTTTGCTCATTCCTTAATTTGAATCTTTTAGTCTCAGTTACCTTTTCTCAAATACTTCTTCCCTTTCATTTATTCTTCATTGGGCCATTGATGGGAATGTTTACTAATTTAGTCTCTTCAATATTATTACAGATTGTTTTGATCATTTCTTACTTTGAATCTTCTAGTCTCAGTTTGGTTTTCCCAAATACAACTTCATCTTCATTTATTCTGAATTGGCTCATTAATGAGAATGTTTACTACTTTAGTCTCTTCAATGTTGTTACAGATTATTTTGCTCATTTCTTAATTTGAATTTTTTCCTCACAGTTTGGTATTCCCAAATACTTCTACCTTTTTATTTATTCTCTATTTGGGCATTGATGGGAATGTTTACAATTTTAGTCTCTTCAGTTTTATGATAGATTGTGTTGCTCATTCCTCACTTTTTTCTTTTTGTTATAACTTTGTTCCTTACTGGTTGTCTTCCAAGTGATATTTGGTAGCAGAATTTAATAATTTTAATAATAATTTAATAAGTTTAACTAACTTATTAAATTATGAATTTGGTACAGTCATTTCCTATTTTTTTCTCTTTTTTAAAAAAATTTGGAAGTAACTGCTAACAGGCTGTCATTGTACAAACATGAAATAGCACATTAGAACTGATGGAAGTTTGAATGATGGGAAATGTGAAAAACATACTAAAGAGATATAAGTGCCAATCTAGTAAGGAATTATGTTTATTCTTTGACCAAATTCCAATATTCATTTTTTTTTTTTGAGAAATGTGAATTACAATTTTTTTAATCTCATTTCCCTCATGACTCTTCCCAGATTCATATTTTTTTAGGTTACTTGTGAATTCTTACTGTTGTCAGCTCTCAATTTCCACTGATGTGAGGTATTATCAGGTTTCTCTTTGCCATCATGGTTTAGAGGAAAACTTTTATAATATTTTCGGTTCCTCTGACTCTACTGATGTCATTCAGTGTCCTTTTAAATGAATGGCCTCTATGAAAGTGAATTGCATAGATGTGTTTCTTTTTTTTTTATTTTTATCATTTTAGAAGCAGAGTCCTGTTCATAATATAAATACAGTATCAAATTTAATCCCCAATAATTTTTAAAGAATTTTGTATTTACCCTGTTGTTATTTACAAATGTCAGATTTGAAACTTGGCATATATTCTTGATAACTGCATACTATTGATATTGTCTTTTTTTTCCAATTTTTAGATAAAATTTTATGAAACAGATTCATGCATTTTCATTCATGGCTTTGGCTTTATTATGGTGACAATTGCAAAAACAAAGAGAGGTAATAAATATTTATCATAAATGAATCCTACCATTAGCTTTTTTTTCCTTTTCTAATTCTTAAGTCATATGTTACACATAAGAAATTTTTTTAAGTTATAAAAGTTAGGTTGTAGGGTACAATTTAGCAATATTGTACAAGATATTGAAGTCATTATTGGAAGTAATATTGCATATGCCATATAGATTTGTCCAAATAGAAATGCATGCATTTTTTTTATCAATGATATTTCAGATCTACATAACAGGTACTGCCAAAATATATCTTCAAATGAAAGCAAATAAACATGACACCTTGTATTTTTTTAATTTGCCCCCAAATCAGGGAATTATCAAATTTTAATTAAATTTTCAACATTTATTTATTTATGAAATAATTTTATACTGAATGAATTATTAGAAAATGTCAAGGAAATATTTCTTGTCAGTTGCACCCAACTTTTTATATCATCATAAACACTTTTAAAATTGCTCAAACATGACAAATATTTTCATTAAGCAAAATCACTGGAGATGTTATTTCAATAAAAAAAAATTTTACACAATATTAAATGAGAACATCTCAAAAATATATTATGAAACCTTACAAAATATTTCAATATTATTTTTTTGTGGAGTGTTTGTGCTTTCTAAATTTAGTAAAATGAATTATTTTCTTTCAGATTTGACAGAAAAAAATCTATAATGAATATTTATTTTTTAAATATTACTTGTAATTATTCAGTGCAATTTTGAAATTTTTCTAATTGCTGATAACTACAGAGATTTTTTTATTAACTAAACCTGTGGTTGAAGAATAAAAAATGTAAACTGACTGTAATTTTCTAGACTATGTATCCAAACACAAAAAATTTAAATTTAAAACTTTCAAATTTCAGTGTCACCTCCCCTTTGTGCACAACAAAAACATGATTTTAATAATATTTTTCCACATGACTCTCGTGTTCTTGAAGCCTTACCTTAAGGAGGTGGCCTGTCTCCCCTTTATATTTTTTCCGCAGCTGCACGGGATAGCGAACACAGAATCTTAAAAACCTTGCACTGTTGAAACACTCCTATGCCATAAAATCAGCACCTGAATTGAAGCCAGACATTCCTAGGGTCTGAGCAAATTTTGACCAGTGGCCTCAGTGTTCACGCTCAGGTTCCTCACGTTAAACTCTGACCTTGTGTTGCATCTCACCTCACTGGAGAGGCTACGGGTAAATACCCACTCGGTGGGAGGGGTAGCTAGGGTGATTGGGTAATATCCAGACCAGCGATCATAAATGACCGTCAGCAATCACCCTCGACTAAGACTGCCTGCTAGTATCAGATCAATGCACCAAATATCTGTTGACCTTTGCTGACTGCCTATTGTCCTTTGACACCTGTCAAGTGGTTTTGTCTTCATCTTCTGGTTACCAACAACCTTCTGGCCTAGACTACAACTACCAGCCAGTAACAACCCAACACATCAACTGTTCGTCCACCTTCATCAGCACCACTCAAGTTGCTTCAGTTATCACCAACTGTCAGCACATCTAAGACCAACAGTTAACTACTAGTACGACCATCCAGGGCATCTAAAACATCTGGATTATTCAATTGCATTTTCTGTCTATATAGAAAATTTAGCATAGTTTATCTAAACTTCTTGTTCTCATTATCTTTGCCTTGGCTTGTGTCACTTCTTCAATTTTAATGACATTGACATTCAGACTCCACAAAAATACATATGTCTTACGAGTGGTAGTTAAAAATTCATTCTAAACCTTGGGTATTAGCACATATATAAAACTATTTTTACTTTTTCACTGAAAATTATGGTATTATTTTTCAAATAAAATCAAAATTTTACTAAAAAGGAGACATTTCCCTACACACAAGCCACCAATCTGCCACTAGGTGGCATGCCACTAGTGTTTATAGCTGGTGGTCCACTGTCAAATTTTTTTTTTTTTTTTTAACTGGAAATCTCTCGGATTTGGCCAAACTTCAAGCTTATTTAAGCTAATTTCCAAATAAAAAATTGTTAGCTTTATTAATTTGTTGGAAACGAAAGAACTCAATTACAGAGACACTTAAAAAAGAACTTAAGAGTATTTAAGAGAACTAGCAAAAAATAAGGACAAATGTGATGGAATTGTTATTTTGCCTTTGTTGTTTTTTCCTTAAAAGAAAGAAACATTTTACCATGGATGACTCGGAAACATTTCAATTTCAGCCAGGGAATTTTGTGAAGGGAATGCCTTGTAAATGAGTTGAGGTAGAGCTTTTCCGTGAAATGAATGTATTGCCTTGTAAACAGGTCAAAGTAGGCCGAGGTGACAGCGGGTGTTGGTAGGCCAGTTCTGTGGAACAAAGGTTGCTGCATCAACTGTGAAGGGAATGCCTTGTAAACGAGTCGAGACAGAGCTGTTCTATGGACCAGAGGTCGCTGGGGTCAACTGCGAAGGGAATGCCTTGTAAACAAGTCGATGTAGGTTGAGGTGGCAGTGTGGGTTGATGTCGATGAAGAATTCTGGCCGGGAGGAATTGAAGTTAAGATGTTTTGAGTTGAAACTGGATAGCTGAGGTGGTAGGTCAAGCCAGGAAATGGTAACGACCATTGAAATGTGCGGTCATGTTCATGGTGGCGGTGAAGGAGGCAACAATGGTGGCAGTAGCGCTTTGCGTGGTGGCTGGTCCACAACTCTGTTCTCTTGGTGATGAGGTCATGGCAGCTTGTAAGCCGGTCTGGTAGTCCCAAGGGGCATTCCTTTTACCGGTGGAAACATTCACGGTTGGTCACCACTGGAGTTAATGTTGTAGACCTGACATGGTGCTTGGAGCTTAATGCAGAGAAAACAACGTTTGTTATTTCATCATCTGCCTTCGAGGCGTTCACATCCAGCCAACATGCGGAATGAATCAGAATGAGATCTAATTGCAATGAGGTATAAAGATTTTTTCTTTTCAATTTCATCAATTAGGATTTATTTAATTATCTCTTTCTCTAAGTTTAATAATGTCTTTCTTTAGATCTTGTTTATTTTCCTTCATTTTCGTGATGCAATTCTATGTGAATGAAACTTTATGACTTTCCCCTTTTTTTCAATATTATTGCTTATTTCTTTGGTCATTTATAATTTTGTCTCATCTAAACTCAAAATATATTTTGCCTCTTTTTCTTGTTCATTTTCAGATATTTTCATTGTGCAATTGTCTGAAAATAAAACTTTAGGATTTTCTACTCTTCAGTTTCATCAACAACCTAATGGGTCATTTATTTATTTCTCTCTGTAAGAGAGAAAACACCTTTTTTTTTGTCTTTTCAATATCATCTCAGATTGGTTTAATCATTTGTTACTTTATTTTCAGGATGCCCGTCTGGCATCTGGCAAATTTGGTTATAAATGTCAGGAGACATGTCATTGTGCTGACAATTCCAAATGTAATAAAACAGACGGGCAATGTCCTGATGGAAAATGTGAACCTGGATACACGGGAGATAAACGCCAAACACGTAAGAAATATTTTCTAAATATTGTTTCTGTCATTCTTGCCTTAAGAAAAGTGTGAAAGAAAATTAAATATATATAATGAAGGTCAATGTTTAATTTGAAGAAAACAAGTCAGTGTCTTCTTCTCTATTTTTATTAGAAGCTTATTCTTTTATCTTCTATTTTTTAATTGGTCTACATGGATTTTATAAAAATGTCTATGAAAATGGATGTCATTGGAAATATTCTTCACCCTCTGAAATATTTTCCTATAAAAGCTGTTGAATGAATTGGAAATATTTTTCTATCACTTACTTGTTAATCCGATAGAAATTATATTTTAGACATGAATTTCTTTACTCGTTATAATATTTATTACATCTGAATCTCTAAATCCATCTTTGTTTTTCTTTTTTGTGATGAACTGAAAGAATTCATTGATTATTTACTAGAAATTCTTTTAAAATGTTTAGAATGTCCACATGGACGTTATGGAAATGGTTGCAGAGAAGGATGCCATTGTAAATATTCTGCGTACTGCACATCTACATCATGTTTCTGTGCTGATGGATGGATGGGAATTGGTTGCAATGAAGGTAAGTCAAATAAAAATGGCGTGACATTTAATAGGGGAAATAAAAACCGAATTTTTGTTTTAAGAAAAAAAAGTTCTCTCCCTTGCACTTTTGATGATGATGATAATAATAATAACGGTATGATATAATTTTCAATAATAATATTAATTATTTTTATTTGTAAAAAACATTTTATAATAAAAGTAAAGAGACTCTTTAAATTGATTAAAGTGTCATATATGTGGAATTCATAAGAGAAATAGAAATCAAATTTTCTTTTTCTGGCTACAAAATCAATCAAACAAACCCTCATTTAATTTCGGGCAGCTGACGGAGACCGCCGAATGCTGTCGGTTATTTCCGCTGCCGGTTCCAATAAATATACGCCAATATCCTCTGTTCTTCCTCGCTACACGTTTTGAGCGGGAATCGATTCGAATAATTTAAGATTGGCAAAGAAAATTTTACAAAAATAAAATAATCCGAAAAAATCGTGCTTTTTTTTTTTTTTTTCTGAAATAAAAACGAAAAATCGTTATCCTCCGTTATAAAATATTTGCCCAAACTTCAAAGAATATCCGATTCAAGTTTCACTACTTATTGATAGTGAATTGATATGTTGTGGGTTGTTCTGGTGATGCGCCAGACTTAGCTGAATATACTTTTTTTTTTTTTATAGATATATAATTTTGTTTTGGGGTTAAAAAGATATCATTAGCCCCACAACTGAAATATATATATTGCACATAAATCATATACAATATACAAGACAATAAGCATGAACAAAAACGATAAAATGCTTTAGTATACATTTCAGAAAAAAAATTGTAAAAATAAAATAAATAAAGATAAAGATTCTTTAAATTTATTAAGGTTGTTGTGGGGCCAGATAAGGATGTCGCCCCTGCAAGCTTGTCGGTGGGGGCGCTCGGGGGTCCGCTACAAGCTATTTGTTCTTGAAGATAGGTGTGAACTGCCAAGACAATGAGGGAACAAAGGCGGAGGTTTAAAAACAAACATCAATTTTTATTTTTACAATATGTACAAGTATGTACTGTCAGGAGAAAATGCCTGGATTGGTGTCGGGTCCTGGATGACTGGTTTGATCAGGTGAACTGATTGGTTGTATCAGTGGCAGTAGCTGGCCTGTTGCTGAGTGTAGTGTTATCGGCAATGGTAGCTGGTCAATTGCCAGGTTGAAGAGTTGTCGTCGGCATTAGCTGGTCAGTTGCCAGGTCAAGGTGTTGTCGAGATGATTAGGGCGAGTTCCTAAATAGGGCCGAGTCAGTGAGATGATATGACTTCCAGGGCGGATCAACCAAGGAAGCGGAATTGCGCCAAAGGGTATCTCTCGACAAAGCATGAGAAAGATCACAAAAGCATCCAGGAAGAAAAAATTTCTGCCCAAGATGCGAACCATGTAGCCTTCAATCAGCCTGCACAACCAGCTAGGTGAGTGATCTCCTGTTAATTCCCCTCTCCAAGTTCTCTGAAGTACTTGGAGAGGGGAATTAACAGGAGATAACTGGCAACTATTAAACATGGCACATGAAACTAGAACAGTCTACCCCAGTGAGCGAAATAAAGGGTTCAGTTCGACATTCTAACCACCTGAAGAAGGCCAGAGCGTACAACAGCCAAAACGTTATAATAAATATGGCGACAAAGATGAGGACAATAGTCCAAATAATGTAAATAGTGTACATAATACCTCATCTCAGAAATATAGACATAGTCAAGTTTTTTGAATTCTCATAAACTTGTATATTGATTGGTCATTGCAACTTATGTAACAGTGTTTTCCCTATCAAGGAGTGTTTGGTCGATTTGAACATTTTAAAATCCTTTATTCTATATTCAACACCATCACTTGATAAAACACCAGAAGTGTTGAAACAAAATGGCTATTTTTGTAGTGATTTATAACATATTTATGTTATAATGTTCGAATAAATTATGTTTGCTCTACTCTGTATTGAGCACTCTATTAAGAATAGTATTTTTGGTTATTGGAATTTATTCTGTATACACCAATCCTATACTTGATATGTATATATGCATGTATATATGTATATATATATGTATTTATGTATGTATGCATGCATGTATGTATATATATATATATATATATATATATATATATATATATATATATACACACACACACATGTATATGTGTATATAGGTGTATATAGGTATATATATGTATATCTGTGTGTGTGTGTGTGTATATATATATATATATATATGGGGGGGTTGCAAAAGGCTGTTTTTGTATTGGAGAAATTTGTCTGAATTTTAGAATCTATTGTTGTTTTAATGATTGTATTTACTTTTTTTTATTCATCTCTTTTACTAAATAATTGCAGAAGAAAATACTTCAATCTAAATAAAAAATTTATCTAAAAGTTAATATTACTTTTTTTTCAACCCAATTCACCTGTTGTAAATTTAATTCTGCCAACTGCATTGGTTCCTGTTCTGGTAATTTTTATTTTCATTGAATTTGTGATTTGCCTCAGGTGATATTTCTATTTTTCTTTAAGTACACTAAGAAAATAAAGCAGACCTGATTGAAATTTACATTTTTGTTTAGGCATAATTTTACATTTAGCCACTGACTAATCAGAAAGCAATATAATAAATTGATACTTTAAGAATATATTTTAAATATGGATTGGCAAATAAATTTTGGATTTATTTTGTAGATTTTAAGCAATATTAAAGGTCATTATTCTTAAGCAAGAATGAATTTTTCTTGTTAGATATTTTAACATAAAGTTCCTAGTTTCTATCAATCTTTAAGTGACTTACAGTTATGCCTTCTTTATTCTGTTTGTGCTTTTGGGAATCAGCAGAGACTGTAGTCTGTATTTTTATTTTTGAGAAATTTAAGTAAATATTTTCAGACAAAAAGAAAGCCAGATTTTATCAAATAATTTATTTAACTATTGTATACTTTTCAATTTAAATGTTTGTGACTGACTGTTGTTGAGTTTATTTATGTTGTTGTTTCTTTATATTATGCTTTGGGGAATTTTTTAGGAGAAATTCAAAGAGAAGAAATAATCATGTGAAAGAACTATCTGGAAACATTATTCCCATGGAAACAGGTGAGTATATAATGACATAAAGAGGATGAGGGTAGTTCCAAAAAAATGTTCTGGCAACTGATGTTTTGGTAGAAACTGAGAAAATATATGCAATGAATGATTAAGTTGACCAATCACTGTTTGACATATGTGTTTAAAATGTTATTAAAACTTAAAAACTGACTTTTAACAAGAGAGACCCTGACTTCCAGAGAGAGAAAGACACTTCCCACCAATTACACATTTTAAAATGTTGTGTAAAATGTAAATGAGAAGATTGTTGAGAGAAATGAGTATTGCTCCAAAGTTCTTGTTCAATCCATTTCCAAGATCTGATAAAATGAACAAAACATTGATTTTTTTTAAGTTCTTCTTGTTATTCATGCCAATGATTTTTCATGTCTCCTTTGTAGTTTTAAGAAAAGTTAAGTAATAACTGTGAAATACATGAAAAGATGATGACATTAGAAAACAAAGCAAGAAATAGTAAAATGGATTTACAAAGATTGTCATTCTTTCTTTCACTGAAATCTTATCTTTTTCTTTCTTTTAATGAACCAAAACTTTAAATCATGTCCTGATGATGATGTGAATAAACAAGGAAATGTTATCAAAAGATCATATGAAGGATTTCTATAATTACCCTACATGCAAAATGCTAGTGTCTTCTGGTGGCAGCTATCAGTGGGCCTCTAGAAGTCTGCCAGCAGTAACATTGCTGAGAGTTGGCAGTTCAACAGTGGGCCACCCAGTAGCTTGTGTTTATCTCTCTTTTCTTTTAAAATATATATAACAAGTTTGTGTTAATTTTATATCTTTAAAAAGAATCATTATACAAAAATGAGTGTAAAATCTGATGGAATTCATTTACTAATTCATTAATAAAGTAAAATTTTGAATTCAATTACTTGCACCAGTTTAAAGTTTTGTTGATTTTTATATTATTTATAAAACATCACTAAAACAAGCTCTTTGAGTTGTAATCTTCAAGATATACATTTTAAGAATTTGGCAATTAGCTGACTTATTGGGTAAATGGCTTTGAAAAAGACTATAAAATCTCTGTTTTGTTTCTTCTCATTTTAGCTTACAATTAGCATACTTAACACATGAAACAGACCCATGGGTTTCTCTTTCTTCATATCATATCTCCTTTCTCCTATAGCAATCTGCTTCTGCTTGGTACTCTAAAAAGAAGCAAAAGTTCCCACTACCCGGAGGTTTTACATAAACAATTTCTTTTTTTTCCATACAATGCTTTTGTCCCTGTCCATAAAAACAGTCTCCTCATTAACTTAGTTTCTTTGAAGGTGCTCAAATAAACAAAACTTTTTCCTCTACTTATTCATACAAACCAATCACACACACACACACACAATTGTGTATTTGGGCAGTAATACCTTTTTTATACAAGATTCATTAAAGGTACTGTGATTAAGATTTTTATTTAATTTTTCTTGTGTACATGCAAGTGTTTTTGTTGTATAGTGTTGCACATAGTCAGTACTCAACCTCCTCTTGTCCGACTCTTTGCTCTACACTTTATTTCTCTTATAACCAACATATGCAAATAGATAAAAATTGTTTACCTATTTGCAAATCCCACTGCATCTCCCTGAACTAAAAAGGTTTCATGCCTTTAGTTGTTATTGAATCTGTTGCTGATGTGTAATGCATTGGAGAGGAATAGAAGGTTTGAATTATCAGAAGGCTTAAAATTGTGTGTGTTCAATAATCTTCCATCCACAACAATTAATAAAAGATAGAGAAATAAAATTCATAAAAATCTTGTTTCAAAATGTAACAATTGCATTTACTAATGTTTGAATACTGAGTAAAAAGGTTAGACAGAGTTGTGTCTCTTAGAATATTTGTACTGAAGTTCATAAAGTGGAAGTAATTATTAAACTGTAGTTTAGAAGAATAAAGTTTCTTTAGCATGTTTGGAATTGTGTATTGTACAAGTCGGTAAAAGTTCAGAAGAGATTTCAGAGTTTGTACTTGCGTGCTGACTGCATTAGTTAAGATGGGAGTTCTTGAAGATTAAATCCTGGCAAATGAGATGCAAGAGAAAGATGAATGAAAAGAAACAACTCAGGGAGCTTACACGTGTTCTGTTTTTAAATAGTCATGTGGGAGGCTCCAAGCATATTGAGCGGGAAAACAGATTTGTCGCGTTCAGGCAGTTTGATTGGTCAGAACTGATCAATCAGCAAACTAGATTGAAGTTGATTAACCAATGAATGCTTGTTAATATTTGCAAAATTGTGATGGTGAAAATTATAACAGGAATAGTGCATTTCCTAGCAGGGGTTAACTGGCTTGTTGTGGAAGAGTCCACAAACCTCTTCTACAACCTCTTTCCTCTTCTCCCCCATGAGGTTTATGTCCTATTCCTTTTAATGGAGATTTTGGTTTCATTTCCTTTTCTTCTATGTCTGAGTTACTCCTATAATCATAAAAATCTTTTATCAGATCACATGAAGGGTTTTCCTAATTATTTATTTCCCTTTTCTTTTAAAATTGTCTACATAACAAGCTAAGTTAGTTTGTAGCTTTAAAAAAGGATTATACAAAAATGAAATTGATGCCTGATAAATCCATTTACTAAGTCATTAATAGTCAAATTTTGAATTAAGCAACTTGCACCACTTTAAATATTTGATTTCTCTATTATTTATAAAGCATCACTAAAGCAAGTTTCTTCAGTAGAATTAGTAAGATATAAATTTAATGAACAATGAGTCAACAACTTGGGTAAATGGCCCTGAAAAAGACTATAAATTTTCTTTTCTGTTTCTTCTAACTTAGATTGCCTAAAGATTTTAATATATTCTTCAATTTCCTTACAGAATGAATTCCAATAAAAAAATACACTTTTCTATTTACAGGCATTTTACAAGAAAGCAATCAAGAAATCCTCACAGATGGAGACCTTCTGGCTGAAGGTATTTACGATGATACTGTTGTATTGACAAAAGAAAATTTCTTATCTTATGTTCAGCAAGTGAAAATGAAAGCAGACCCATTTTCAAATGAGTTTTCAGTATGTAATTATTGTAATTATTAATGTCATACATGCACATATATATAAATGTATATATGTATATAAGTTATCATGTAGTTGTTTCAAATATGATGTGACACATTTATTTTTATATCAAGATAAACCACCTTGAAAAGGTTTATTAAATCTAAAAATAAATACAAATCTATTTAATATCTGGGTAATATGCATAATATTTACTAGTTTGACCTTTTTTTTTTTTTACAGTGGTGTTCACCCTGTACAAGAACATGGGTTCTCTCAAGGTAGAGTGTTAAAGATTAATAAGTACAGCTTATGCAGATATGTGCAGAAGATAACAGTTAACCCTAGACTTGAACAGATTAAGATTGTAGTGATTGGGAAAGCAGTCTCTTGGGAGTTAGTTCTACAAGGCGGCAGTTTGTGGTAAGAAGCTGTTTCAGTGGAACTTACATCTCATCAGGGGCATATGAAGGGAATGAAGGTGGTTTGCTACAATGTGCATGGCATGGCCTGTCTTAGTAGTGAAGCTTAGGACTGGTGGTATTAAGGAGGGTAGTTCCTCTGAACACTCACTATAGAAATAGTGATAGAGCAGTGAGAGGCTTTCAAAATCTCATCAGTGAGAAAGAGTTTGCAGAATGAAAAATAATTTGTCACCTACACCTGCTTTTGGACCTATCCAGAATGGAAAGTGAAGATTAGGCAGCAGTACTCTATTTTTGGCCTGATCTGGTTCTGATTTTTCCAGCATCTTTAGCGATGGATCAAATGTATGAGTTCTGCTTAAGGTCTGGGTTGAGTTTAAGCCCTAATAGGCACTCAAGACATGGGCCATTTCTGAGGGAACATTCATTCATCACTATTGGTGAAAGTTCATATGTAAGTAATATTGTGTTTGGTCAAATACTAGTAGTGAGACAGTCACACTCACAGGAGATACCTGCATCGATAACTTGAATTGAATTATCCAAAGATAATTCCATAACAATATCTTTCATCATGGCATCAAGAATTCCCACCAAAAACTATTGCATGGTCCAGAACCCATTCACAAAATGGCAGTACAATAGCCCTAATATTATACACCTGCTGATAGGATAGCCTCCTTTGAAGTTAGTCAAATGCTCAGATTCGTGACTGTCAGACAGATAATGCCAAAACCTTGAAAATGTTTACCTCCAGCAACCTTGATGAAGGGACAAATAATTGAGGAAAAAAGATACAGGTGTGTGCATGTCCTGTCTACACAGAATTCAAGGCAACAGAACTTCTCCATGGGCCAGAAATATCATATTAGTCTGAGACCATAGGTACCAAGACAACCTTGCTCATATATATAGGCTAAAGTCAACCCACTACTGGGAAAAGGGGGTTGACATAGGTTGCTTGGGGAGGGGGGTGCATCAGCATTCCCTACTACCATTTGATTTAATATTAACTGAGGAAAAATGTTAAATGGATTGGAGCTACATTTAGGGGTTGCTGGGGATTTCTTTTTTATCTAGTACCTGTGTTAGGTGAGATTACTAAAGGAAATGAGAGTGTGGCATAAACTATTAAATTTTAATTTAGTATCAGTCAAAATATCCCCTATCATAATAAAGGCGAGTTGGAAATTAAGAGTAGCCTTATTCCATAGACAAAAATTTCAAATTATTTGTATAAAAGATCACACAGCTTACATTTATGGCTGACTGATTTTCTGCTTCATAATTTAGGTAAAAATTTCAGGCTATCCCTGCTGCTTGAATTCAATTGATAATCAATATGTTTATGGTACTAATGACATCCCACTACCAATAGATAGAGACAAAAAAGGCTGTTAATTTGGCAAGGAAGAAATTGATTCAAGAACAACATTTTTTTTTTACATTTTACAAAAAATGAAAAGTTGATTTTTCACTTAAAGACATGACCAGTTTAATTTATCAAAATTCTTTTGAAGGAAGCTACATGTGAATGCAGAAATTATCTTCAAATAATAATTCAGATTATTAAGTGATATGTTTCCTTAAAAGATTAATTGCAAAATTAAACAATGAAAGTGATTTACTGGAAAGGAGAGAAGAGAAAAAAGACTGGGAAAGAAAGAAGAAAAAAAGACATATATATATATATATATATATATATATATATATATATTAAAATTTGAAATTGTATCAATGAACACATGACTTACATTCAAGGAACTGTAGAAATTTCATGGGTGTTAAAAACTAAGATTATTCACTATGCTATGCATTTGTTTGTCACTCATATTTTGGGTGTATCTTCTCATTCTCTTCCTGATCCAGTCCAACTTTTGATGTATGTCTAATATTTTTACCTTTTGGAGATGTTTTCATATTAAAAAAAAAAAGAAAGAAGAAATGCATCCTCTCTTTTATCATTCTTTTGCTCTCTCTTTCCATAAAGAACACAATTTAAACATAGTTAGAGATAATAAATTAAAGTCAAATTTATACAGAAAATTTATTAGAAAATATATATATATCTGTAACTCCCCATCAATTTTCGTCTAGCCAAGTTACACACACATTGCACTCTACTGAAAACAAATTTGACATAGTGTTTGCCATTATCGATGCAACTCTCACTTGCCACAGATGTCTACAACTACATCTGTGTGTTTTCCTTATATACACTGTAAGTGAAGCTGGACATCAGAGAGAGGGCAGAGAGAGATTTCCTACATGTATGCTAATCATAGAGGCTACCCAAGAGCATGGCTGACTGCCCATCTGAACACAGAAAGAGAATGGATTCTACTATCAATATGGCAAGCTCAAACTGATAGCCAACAAGCAGTCAGCCAGTTTAAGCATACTTTTTTTTTCACACTCTCATTTCACACCTTGTACACCAAACACTTAGATGCTACACTATACTACTTACCAGTGACATTTTCATATCTTGTAAATGAAAGCAAATCTTTGGTCATTCTTCCAAGCCAGAGTCTAATTGGTTTATTTCCTCCAACCAATTTCCACCTTAGGTCAACTGGTGACCATGCAAATGAACATGATTGTAAAAATGGAAGATGTCTCATTGTCAGTTTCAGACATGTCTAAAGAACAACATGAAGCAAGAGTAAACATCATCCATTTACTTCCTGTTAACAGAAAAAAAAACCCTCAGACCTGCTTCAACCAAGTACAAGCTTCATTGCAGATCCAAGAAGCGGACAGGGTGAAAATGATAAAAAAATGATGCTGAGTTTCATTAACCAAACTGTTCAAAAAAGGCATGTATCATGACACCAACACAATTGAGACAATAGCAGAGGGAGAAGATCCAATAGCAGACATCAGAGTTTAAGCCATGATTGAAAATATTGTTGGTATCACTGGCATCATAGAATTAATGCCAAGAAATGTACAACCCCATGTATATTACACACTCCCACAGCAAGGATAGTGACAGATTGACTAGTATCATCAAACGCAAGTACCAGATCTTTCAAAAGTAATCTTTTCCACAACAGACAAATTCTCTAGCTTGTGATTTCTAGTCTACATGGGTGCTGATTTAAGCATTTTACCAGCAACACAAAAACAAACACCCAATAAATTCTCCCTAGTAGAAGTGAACAATCCCATTGTAAACACTGACAGAAAATATTGGATTTAGACAAATATTGGACTTAGACATTTACTACAATGGACATTTGTAAGTGCTGACATCAAAGTGCTGATTTTAGGGCAAATTTTTTGTGCCATTATGATCTTATTGTCAACTTTCAGAGGTAACATTTAGTGGAGAGCTTAACATCCCTATTCATGAAGGGTTCACCAACGAATGCCCCTTTGATGGAAATCAGATCAGTACTGCCTGAAAACAAGACCTATAGAATATTGATAAAGGAATGTGGAGACATAACCAACCCAGTGATGCAGAATAAAAATTTCAAAACATAATTTGGTGCATTGGATAATCACCACTGGACAATCAGTACATGCAGAACCATGGCAGTTATCACCAGATAACCTTAAAATTGCCTAGGTAGAATTTCAACGGATGCTGGATTTAAATAAATCCATCCGTCCAGTAGTCCTTGGGAATACACATGGTGCCAAAGAGAAACAGCCCAGACTGGAAAGCTTGTGGAGACTACTGAGCTCTGAATAGAATAACAACACCAAATAGGTATCCCACCCCACATCTACAGGTTTTTACTTCCACATTACTACAGAAAAAAGTATTCTCTTAAGTAGATCTGATCTGATCTTGCAACCAGATTCCTGTGGCTGAAGAAGACATCAAAAAGTCAACCATAACAACACAATTTGAACATTTCGAATTTTTAAAAATGCCTTTTGGTCTGAAAAACACAGCACAAATATTTTAGTGTTTCATAGACAAAGTTTTTCTTGGACTAGATTTTGTGTATGCATACATAGACGACATACTTATAGCTAGTACTGACAAAACAGAACATGAGTCTCACATCTGACAAGTTCTACAACGTTTGTAAGATTTTGGATTAAAAGTCAATCTCAGCAAATGCATTTTTGGTGTCTCATCTTTTTCTTTTCTATGTCACAGGATAGACAACACAGGTATAACATTTTTACCTGAGACAGTAGATGTCATACGTTTTTTTTGTTTTTTTTTAAAGCATTCCATCCCAAGCAAGGCGGGAAGCCACTAGGACACAAGGGGTTACAGAAAATTTAGAGCAAGATCAGATAGGAGTGATACAAGAAAGGATGAGGGTAGTGGATAGATCAAGGCAACTGGAGATGTCGATTGACATTACACTTGAATAGCTGGAGATTATAGCTCACAGGAAAGCAGGAATAGGGAAGGGAGTTCCACAGGTGAAAGGTGCGAAACATGAAGCTATTCGAGTAGAAGAGATGGCTACATTTAGGAGTTTCGACAGTGAAGGGGTGAGAGCGGGATGCCAGCCTCATATGGCGCTTGAACTCATGACGACTGGGAACCAGTGAATGCAGCTCCTCAGAGCAATTTCCATGAAAGTATTTGTAGAACAGACAGAGGGAAGTGACAGCACGTCTGTGAGAAAGTGACTGTAGACGAGATGCCAGAGCAGGGCCAACTACATTGCATATCCGCCTCTGGAGCCTATCAAGAACCCCGAGGCAAACAGAAGGGGCACCAGACCATATAAGGCAGCAATACTCCATGCAAGGGCGAATTGTTGATTTGTAGATCTGGAGGATCAACTCCGGGGAGAAAAACTTCCTGGCGTGGCTCAGGGAGCCAACTTTCCTTGTGGTGGACAAAGCAATTGACTCACTGTATTTATTCCATCTCAGGTCAGCAGTCAACGTGAGACCAAGAAGCTGCAGAGAGTTGCTCTCGAGAAGTTGAGCATCAGATATTCTAATGGAGGGAAGGGAAGGATGTCTGTGGTGATTAATAGAGAGCAGTTTTGTCTTAGAAGCATTGAAGTTGACCAGCCAATTCTTGCCCCAGTTCACAATCGATTGAAGGTCCTTTTTGAGACACACGTCAGGTGAGTTTTGTCAGTGAGACTAGATTTGTTTTTGAGGCAGGAATAAATTGTGGTGTCATCCACGTAGATGCCAACTTGGGAAGTTATGGCATCAGGAGGGTCATTTATGTAGATAAGGAATAGAGGGGGGCCTCCAATGCCAAAATCCTTATGATAATTAGGGAGATTTATTGGAATGATGAACTACTACAAATGTTTCATTATGCATTGTTCACAGTTACTCACACCATTGATGACACTAGTGAAAAGCAAATCAAAGAAAAATATGCAGTGGACTAATGAAGTGAAACTAACATTTGACAAAGGCAAAGAAGACTTACGGAATTGCACCAAATTGCAATACATCAATCCAGAGGTGAAATTGTCCATTGAAACAGATGCATCGGAAAATGCAATAGGTGCCATATTACAACAAACTTTAAATGAGGAAACAAAACCTATATCACTTTTTTTTAATGAAATTATCTCCTGCATAACAAAGATACAGCACTTTTGGCAGGGAACTACTAGCAATATACACTACTGTCAAACATTTCAAACACATATTAGAAGGAAAACCTTTCACAATCTTCATGACTACAAACCGCTCACATATTCCCTTGAAACAATAACAGATAACAGACATATATTGAAGGGAGCTACATATGAATGCATGAATTATCCTCATATAATAATTCAGATTATTAAGTGAGACATTTCATTAACAGATTAAATAGGAACTTAAACAATGAAAGTGATCTGCTGGAAAAAAGAGAAGAGAAAAAAATAAGACAGGAAAAAAAGAAAAAGAAAAGGAAAGAAAATATATATATATATATATATATATATATTAAAATTTAAAATTGTATCAAAGAACACATGGCTGGTTTTATATTTATTCTAGATGTAAATGCGTAGCAAAAAAAACACAGTTGACACATAGAGATAAGAAATTAAAGCCAAATTTATACAATTATTAGAAAAAATATCTCTAACTACCAACTAATTTTCATCTAGCCAAGTTACACACACATTGCACTCTACTCAAAACAAATTTTAAAATAAACACAAATATACCTGAGTGCTGGCCTCTCATTTGTCACAGATATCTACAACTACATACGTGTGTTTTCCTTATATAGACTGTAAGAGAAGCCAGACTGCAGAGACAGAGACTTCACACACATATGCTAACCATAAACACTACCTGAGAGCTCAGCTGAATGCTCATCTGACCTTTAGGCTGTGAAAATGACCTCCTTTGAGCACAGAAAAAGAACAGATTCCACTCTCAACACAGAAAGCCCAAACTGATAGCCAACAAGCAGTCAGCCAATTTAAGCATACTCCTTTTTTATGCTTTCATTTTACATCCTGTACACTGTACATTTGAATGTTACAATATATGATATACCGGAGACAATTTCATATATCGTAAATGAAAATAAATTGTTAGCTATTCCTCCAGTGTCTAATTTGTTTCTTTACATCAAACAACTCCCACCTTGGATAAAATGTCAACAGCATGAATTTTCAAAAATGTGACCAAAATTATACAGTGGTATCTGAATGACTGCCTAATTAGCATAGCTCAGGCTGACTATATAAATGCCCAATTAGTAAGGGTAGTCCAGTTCATGATATGCAAGATAAATGATTATGACTAGACTGATAAAATACAAAACACTTTGGCTTTAAATTTATTATATTTATCACTCTTATTTTTATATAATGTCATGTATCAACATCTGTATTTACAAAAATTGGCATGTATATACACAAAAATAAAAAAAAAATGAAAAATTATTTTTTAAAATATTGGTCTCATTGAATTGTAATCATTTTTTCCATTCAAGATTAGTAAAAATAAATTTTACTTAATAACAATGTCACCTAGCTGGTACAAATTAAGACAGAATTTTAAAAGATTTTAAACTTTATAAATTATTATAATTAAAATTTAATCCATAATATATCTCATTCATAAAATAATTAAAAACTTTTCTAATTAAATAATGTCTTAGTTTTACTGCATTTTTTTTTATGATACAAAACAGATTTTTAGTAATTGGTATTTCTTTTTTACAAAAAGAAACTGATGATTTAAATTCTCCAAGGAATTCTGCTTTTAACTAATATAAACATGAATTGGGACAAAATTTAATTTCTCAAACAGATGTAAAAAAGAAATATTTTTTTGCAAGATTTTCTAAGGAAAAAGTTTTCTAAAATAATTTCATTCAATTGTAAATAATTCCTGAAAGTTTCATTAAAATCTAACAATTATTTGATTTTTTCCAGAATTTCCACATCAGTGTGTTTTTCCCTGCAAAAAAAGATGTTAACACAATGTCTGTACTGATACAAGAAAAAAAAAATTTTAACCAAAATTTCAAACATTTTAAAAAGGTAAATAATATAAATTAATAATCAAAAATCCTTTTGTTTTCCTTCAAAAATAACAAAGATTTTGATGATAAAATTTTGTTTTTATTAAGTTTGGGGCATTTATTCATCAAGCAAGGTATGCTCATTTTTTTAGGCAATCTGTGACAGTACTCCCATATATATATATATAAATATATATATATATATATATATATATATATATATATATATATATATATATATATATATATATATTTGGAATATTGAAAGTGATGATTGAAATTGAATACTGAAATTATGTTATTTTAAAACAGAATATTGAAATGAATGTTTGAATATTAAAAAAGAATATTGAAATCAGTATCTATATATTGAAAATGAATGCTGAACTTGAATGTTTGAATACTGAAAATAATCATATGAATATTGAATTTGAATATGTATATATTGAAAAAGAAATTTGAATGCTTAAATATTGAAATTGTATAATGAAATATATTTCTAAATATTAATACTAAATTCATAAATATTGAAATTACCTGTTTGAATATTGAATTTAAACGTAAAAAATATCTGAACCCTTAATATTGAAAATGAAATACTAATTGAAATGTTTGAATGTTGAAATTCAGTCACTGAATATTGAATTTGAATGTCTGAATATTAAATTTAAATATTAAAAAAATATTCAAATGTTTAATATCAAAGTTGGATGACTGAATACTGATACTAAATATTTAAATTTACTATCTGAATTGGATATTGATTTTCTGAATATAGAAATTGAAACATTGAATACAAATACTGAAGTGTATGCATGAATATTAAAAGTGAATGCCATTTTGCTAGAGATTCCCTCAAGAAAGAGGGAAAGCAATCACCAAACTTAGGCTAATCCCCACCATCCTCAAACACACCAAAACGATAATATTTCTCTCATTTGAAATTTGAATTTCTTACTCAGAAAAAACAATGCAATTATGAGCACAATTGGTAATATCCTTTGAAAATATGCAGAGACAATAGAATGTCATTCATATTTCTTTAATAAAAATTATAACATCAGCTTATAATAGCACAAAAGTTAATATATTCTATAATGTAGATTTATAAAATGATTATTTTGTAATGAATAATAATTAACTTTTCAAATAAATCTAAGATTTTAGATGATAATAATAATAATGAATAAAAGGTAATTATTAATAATATTTGTTGTTATTTTTTACAGAGCCTTGACAAGCATGTTAAGTATCCATGTAAAACAGGCAAATCAGTTGAAAACATTTGTAAGAATCGTTGCAAAACCATATTGCCCTGTAAGTATCATAAAGTCTTTGAAAATATCAGTCACAAAGTTTTAGATTATCTTTCTTGAATTTTACAACATTATGACAAACCAAGACTATGATGATGAAAAAATCATTGGGAATATTTTATCTATTAAGATGCTAATCAATGGATGTTCTTATTTTTAGATGATCATTCCCGTGTTGTTTTGCACAGTGATGAAACAGCAGATTATATTAATGCCAGTTACATCAATGTAAGTTATTTCTCCTTTAAATTTCATTTTATTTTTACACTATCAAGAAGGCTTTCCTAATATTTCAATAAAATCTTCAGTTGAAGGGATAACAAACTTAATCTATTATATAAAAATTGAAATTGACTTTGTGTCTATTTGATGTATAAGTGTTACAAGGTATAAAATCCATTTATTTTTTAATCCCAAATAATAGAAAATGTGTGTGAGTTTATGTGCATATTTTAAGGTTTTCAGCAGGAAATACATTTGCATATTTTTCAGAAATGATAAAATATTTTGGTAATAATTACAAATAAGAAGGCAACAGGATTAAAGAATTTCAGAAAAAATATAAATTTTGTGAGGTTCATTTAGTTGAATATAAATGTAATAAAAGTCCAGTAATAGAATCATATCAACTAAATGAGAAAACATGGCTCCTCATTCACTGAAAGAATAAAAGAAAAGCCCAATGACATTAGAAGAATAGCATTTGGTAAATAGATTTTTAAAAATGCAGTATCAAAGATTAATCATTACTTTCTTTATTAATAATCTTTATGAACAATATTTAAAAACTGGAATATTGCTTTCTAAATAGAATGACACAATTTCTTAACATCTTTAATTTCCAAAATAAGTTAACCATTATGATTTTTTCAAACTTTCTTTCAAATATCCTTTAATGATTTTTAAAGACTGGTGTACAGTACCACCCAAAGATTCAAGAAATTTGAACAATATGCATGAACTAAATCTGATACAGACTTTTGACACTACACTTTGTGAGCACAATCTTTTAGATCAGGGGTCGGCAACTTCTTTGCCTTCATGGACCGGATTGAGTATTAATGGTAAATAGCAAGCTTGATGTAGGCCATAAAAGACTACATATGCTAAAATTTAATTACTAGTGTTGAGTATACTTAAAATAATTTGTATTAACCACAGATGTATGTAGTAACTGAAAAACATCATTTTTTCAATTTAAGACATCGTTGGAATCATTTGTTTAAAAAATCATAAAAATACATAGCAGCCAAAAAATTAATGGGAAACTTGATGTCTTTTGTTCCTTGAAAGCTTCTCAGGTTTCTCGATCCCAAGAGCAAGATTTTATCAAGACACTTATCAGTTAAACTTGTTCTGAAATTGTACTCAGATTACTTCAGTTTGGAAAATAATTGTTCGAACTGATAAGCGCTTCCAAACAAAGATACCATCTTTTTTGTATGATTCACTAAGTTGGTATATTTCCCACTTGGAAAAATATATTTTGTATAGAGATTGATCAATGAAATGATAGAAAATGTGCACAATTTTTATTTCAAGGTTGATGTTCCCATAACTGTAGCTCTTTTTCAAAGGCAACAATATCGTTATACATTTAATTTACAAGCTGATTTTTACTTGTTGTCATTTTTGGTTATTTAAATGAATTGTGATGCCAATTTGCTTCAAAAAATCAAACTTCATTTTTGATATCGTTTTCAACAAAGCTTCAAAGATGTCTGCTCCAATTATGGTTTCCTTCACAGGAATTAACTAAATAAATTCTGTAAAGATCTGAAAAGTTGATGTCACTCTTCTCACAAAGATGGCAAGTTGTCACTTAAAGTGTGTATTCTCATCAATAGCAAAATATTTTTAATTCAGAGAGCAGGCATTGATTAATTGATTTTTAGCATCTGATGATATTTCTTCAACCTGTTGTATGACTATCCTCAAAGACAGGCTTCAAATAATGACATTTTTTTCTGTACAAAAATATCCAACACTGACTGTAAGCATTCTTTAAAAAGTCACCATCTCTAAACAGTTTCATCTTTTTTCTGCAAAGCATCTTGAGATTTCATAACTGGCAGTTATATTTGCCACATTTTCACCTTTTCTCTTTTTAACAAATGACATTTGTTTTTCAAAACTAGTCTTCAACTGTTCAATTTCATCTTTCCTGCCTTGTCCAGTAAATTTCCTAAAATTTTTCCAATGGTATATCTCGTAATCTCACCTAATATTTGCTACCTTATTCACAGCAATGCTTTCTAGACATATAGGACAAACCGGTTTCCCACTGTGTTCGATGAAGAAGAAATCTAATGTCCAAGTCTCTTGGAAAATTTGGCATTTATCATCTACCTTTCTTGGTTTTGCATTCATTGTCATCAAAATCTTTTCCTATGAATAAAATTAAAATTTATATTAAAAATAAAACTATTACAGTTTATTACAACAATAAAGAGCCAAATTGCAAGAAAGAGGGAAATTATACAAATACATAAGGTTAATTTAATAAATATTTAAATTAATCATTGTTTTAAAGGAATAATTCAATTGTTTTGCTAATTTTACATCTGAATAATTTGATTTTTTAATGGCAGACCTTTTATTGTATTCAAAAGCCTTGTCTCTCACATTACAATTGTTATAATACCAGTTGGTTATGACTAATAACTTGGCTATAACTTGTATGTATTATTATTCTTATTATTATTTTTGTGTTTTGTGAGCAGAAATGATGTGCTTTTCCTGTGTATATGAGGCATTTTTAATTGTTTTTATTGTCATAGTGTTCACATCCAACTGATGGACATTAGGTAGGTGAATCAGAAGAAGATTTGTGGAAAGCATGTAACAGCGGGCCTTTTATTGTAATTGAAATCCTCATCTCACATCTATCTATATAATACTAAAAAAGTCTATGATTGCATCCTTGCTTGTGTGGTGCATCCATCCAGCACATAATGATTTAAGTAAATAAAATTGAAAAATACAAGTTGTTTATATAGTATTTTTTTTTAACTTCCTTCAAACAATTTTTTAAGACAGACACAAAGAGATCCCGCTTTGCAGTTTTGTCCAGTTATTTGTAGAGTAATTATTTATATTTCAGCTTTTTTAAACAAACAATATAATAAACATGTGACTGATTTTATGCAATAGCAGTAATTTTAAAACACAGTGAACAAGGAGAGTTGAAACAAGGCTTACTTTGCCACAGCTTTATATGTAGGAAAATCATTGCTGACTGATGCATTGTCATGGTATAATTGTTCACTGACTATTTCACAGATGTGTCTTCTGACTCTCCTGTTTCAGGTATGGCCCCTTGACTGTTGTTGACAAGCTATTTTTATCACTTATGTTGAGTTGGTGACCAGCTCACAAATTCTGTGCAGGAATATACTAAGTAGCCCATGCCCTGACCTATTTCCAGATAATTTGGTGTTCAACTATGTAGATGTCATAGAGAGGACATTATGTGACTTGTTATATCCAATCAGGTTCCAGAAACTACTTATTTAATTTTGGAGCCATATTTTATACAGAATTGTGGAGTTGTTTTTTGTATCTACCGATTTTTGTAGGATTTATTTGAAGGCGTCTCTTACTTGTTTGTGCTTCACTTATTGGCAATAGAATATCGGAGTTTATCCTATACTTTCAAAGAATCATCTGTATCAAGTTTCAATTGAAGGTGGTTACAAATAATTATTTGTAACAATATCAATGAGCCTTATATGTAGCATTCTACTTTATGTAGACTCTTCTGTGGAGTATAGAGTTACAGCCTCACCTAGATAGACATTGCTGTTGTGGTTTCTGTAACAAGTAGGTTTTTTTTATGAGGGAAATTGCTAGCGCCCTATACTAACCAGTTTGGGAGTCAAAGTTGTTGTTCTCCTAGACTGGTTGCCAACCAAGACTAGAGATCCTAGTCCATCCAGTTATTAACCCCTAGCGAGAAGAAAGAGACTGATTCATGTCTTTACAAGGGGTGTGTGCAAAAATGTATGCAGCAGCCCCAGCTGGAATTTGAACTCAACACATCAATCCCACTTTTTGTGCTGATAACCAATAAGAAAATGTCTTAGCATAAATTTGATAAAATGTTTTCAACTAAATTTAGTATCTGCTTTCAATGATATAAAGACTATGCATGGAAAAAATATTGGAGCTGTTTCTCTTCTAAAAAGATTTTTTGAAATGAATATTCACCCATCACTGCATCATACATCACTAGGTTATATGCAGATTAGTTATAAAATTCAATCATATTATGCCTATTATCTTTTCTATTGTAAACTATTTTTGTTCTAGAGAGCTTAAACATAGATTATTTAAAGGTTTTCTTGAAGAGTTAGATGCTGAATATAGTGGCTTGTCATATCATATAGAAGTGTGATAGTTCCACTGATGAAAGGTGCCACAGTATTTTGTAACTCTCAAAGAGAAAATATTTCTAAAACATAACTAAAAAATATTTAAAAACAGGTTTTATATTATAAAACCTCAAAATAATCTTAATATTAATATTTCAAAATGAAATTGAAACTTTTAGAAGTCAGCTAGCAAAAATTGAATGTATCATTTATATATATATATGACATATTCCCATGATAAGTTTAGAGCAAAATATGTTGAACAACTTGAAATTCTTCTCACAGAATTTTAAAGAAGTATTATTTTTCAAAAGAAAATGATATTCAGTTGAAATTCACTGAGGATCCTTTTCTATCAACCACTAAAGAATTGTCCACAATATTGTAATTGAGCTTAACCAAATTTCAAGCTTCCTCAGGTTCACAAAACAAACCAAAGTAGCCTGCAAAACTTTTACTAAAGTCTGGACAAAAAGATATATCAAAATGTCATTCAACTTATAATAGAAAATCTTCAGTATTTTTTTGAAGCACTGACATTTCTGAACAGATCAT